CTCTATGCTCCCTTTTTCCATCTGTGACCTTATTGACCAGAAGATCAGAGGGTTTGTTTGGGGTTCTGTTGAGGGGAAAAAGAAAGTGCATCTCCTGTCTTGGGATTCTGTGTGTAAGCCAAAAGATCGGGGGGACTTGATCTTAGATCTGCTAGGAGCTTGAACCTAGCCTATATGGTTAAACTTGCTTGGAATTTGTTCAATAACGACCAAGATCTTTGGGTGAAAGTTTTACAGGGGAAGTACTTCCATCACAAGAATGGCAGGATTACTAAGATGAAAACTAGCAACCATTCAAGCTTCTGGAAGGGAATTGTCAAAGCCTTGCCCTTCATGAAACAAGCCATTCAGTGGAGTGTCAGAAACGGGGAGACTACTGGTTTCTGGACTCATCCTTGGGTGGAAAATGGCCTAATACTGGAAGAGTTCGCCTTGAAAGAGCTTACTGAGGAGGAACTGAGTGCTTCAGTCTCAAGCTGGGTCGATGAGTTAGGTGAGTGGGATTGGAACAGAATGAGAATGTACCTCCCTGATGAGATGATCTCGCTTATTCCAGGAACAGATGCGCCGAACTCTGAGCTGGGAGAGGATCGAACTGTCTGGGGCATTGAGAAAGATGGAAGATTCAAGCTTAAATCTGCCTACTCTCTGGTAGCAGGGGAGGTGGAGAGCTCACCAATTGACGTTTGGAGTGATCTATGGAAGTGGAAGGGTCCAAGCCGCATCAAGCACTTCTTGTGGCTGGCAAGCCACAACAGACTGCTAACTAACAAGGAAAGAGTGAAAAGAAAGCTTACTGAGGATGGCATGTGCAAATTCTACAGAATAACAGAAGAAACAATGGAGCATATCCTCAGAAAGTGTGGAAAAACTGCAGGCCTGTGGAGGCACTTCAAGGACAAACTCAAGGTGAATGACAATGACATTGACTTTCAAATGTGGCTGATCAAGAACATGATGGATCAGGAGACAGGTATTGATTTTGGGATAATATGCTGGAACCTGTGGAAACAACAAAATGAAGAAGTTATGGAGGACAAGAATTACTCGGAAGATGGCCTAATCCAGCGGGTGATTGCCTGGATTAACATCAACAATCAAGCTCATTCCAACTCGGAAAAGTGTCTTGCACCTGTCAACACGACAAAAACCAGACTTGAGATTGCATGGAAACCTCCGAAAGAAGGTTGGGTTCAGGTACAGTCTGATGGGTCTGTTGCTCAACCTTCTGGACAGGCTGCTGCAGGGGGGCTTGTGCATGATTACCTGGGACGATGTCTGGGAGCGTTTGCCTGCTTTTCTTGGGAGGTGCACTATCACTCCAGTTGAACTTAAAGGGGTCGTGGAAGGGTTGGAAATGGCATGGCAACTTGGATTCAGGAAAGTGGAGCTCAATATTGACTCCACCACTGCTTTAGCTATCATTAGAAGTAGAAGTAATAGTGATCATTGTCATGGTCACATTGCTAAGCTGTTTGAGAGCATTCTTGCTAGGGAATGGGTTGTAAAAATTAACCATGTCTTTCGGGAGGGTAATTTTGCAGCTGATTACTTAGCTTCTAAGGGACACTCCCTTTCTTTTGGCACACATCTTATCGATGTGAGCGACCCGAACTTGTGTTATTGGCTTTTACACGATAATATGGGTGTTTCCATATGCCGTGATGTTAATGATATGATCTAGGACGCATTGCGTCTGTTTTCTACAAAAAAAAAAGTAAACTCTTTTCTGATGATATATAGATTGCCATTCATAAAAAAAGAAGATAAAAGTCGGATTTAAAAATTAGAGAAATTTAAAAAATTATTTATCCAACCATCATGTCCAACCCTACTTAAAATAAATGAACCACATCTAGTTATACGAGAGTTATGCACTCTTTGACCTATAAATACACAATTATATGTGGAGAGTTCTATGAGACTCGGGTAGATATGAAGATACCTTGGAAAAAACACAAGTGGCATTTCAACATCCAAAATCACGACCACTAATCTCGAATTATAAATTTATAATAGGCAAAATACACTTGTATAGCCATAACTTTACCCTTTGTGACAATAATAGCCAAATTTTGAAAAATACACAAATATAGCCACATTTTGAAAAGTAGATTGACAGATTTAGCCATTTCCGTTAAAATCTTTAACACCGTCAGTATTTTTTTCTGTACAGTGAACGTTATGCTGAGGTGGATGCCACATCAGCTCACACGTCATTTCCATCAAGAACACAATGCCACATGTACTCCACATCACATTTTAATTAAAAAAAATTAATTACTTTATTTTTTAATAAACAACTCATACCTACCACCGCCTGCCAAAAAATCCCCCTTGCCCACCAGCCACGGTCCAAGATAGGGTCAGTAACCACTGGTTACTGATCCATCAGTAACCACACGCAGGCCGTAGATCTAGGGATGGAGAAATCGTGTGGATGGGCTGGACGCTGGGTGGGGAGGGGCATTTTTGTCCGTTTTTGTATTTTTAATTTTTTTATTTATTCCGCATTTCAATGGCTCACTTTTCAATGAATGAGAGAGAATCTTCCTTCTCTGCAACTCAACTTTCTTCCTTCTCTCTTCCTTTTTTTCAATCTCTTTCCAGATCCTTTCTCTTTCTCTATTCCTTCTCTCTTACTTTTTCTCTCACAATCTCCTTTTCAAATCTAAATCTGCTCTCTTCCTTCTTCATTTTTTTTTCTCTAGCATAAAAATTGTAGCCACTCTCTTTCATTGCATTTCTTCTCTTCATCAACTCGTTGGACTCAATTCCGATCTTTCTCATTTTTTTGGCATTTTGGTGTTCTTGATTGAGGAAGAGGAAATGAGAGGCATCATAAGACGATTTTTTTCTCTCCCTCCTTCTGTTTTTTTCCTTTTAGATAATATATATTGATATTATGACTCTATACCATATGGTATTGGGTGGTAACGAAATATATATTGACATTACCACACTATACCCTATGGTAATTTATGATATTGCGTGGTAACGAAATATATATTGATATTACCACTCTATACCATATGGTATTGTGTGATATTACCACACTATACCATATGCTATTGTGTGGTAACGAAATATATATTGATATTACCACTTTATACCATATGGTATTATGTGATATTACCATATTATACCATATGGTATTGTGTGGTAACGAAATATATATTGATATTACCACACTATATCCTATGGTATTGGGTGGTAACGAAATATATATTGATATTACCACACTATACCATATGGTATTGGGTGGTAACGAAATATATATTGATATTACCACACTATACCCTATGGCAATGTATGGTATTGCGTGGTAACGAAATATATATTGATATTACCACTCTATACCATATGGTATTGTGTGAATTGTGTGATATTATCACACTATACCATATGGTATTGGGTGGTAACGAAATATATATTACCACACTATACCATATGGTATTGGGTGGTAACGAAATATATATTCATGTGGCAAATATTACCATACCATATGGTATGCTCTTGTTTAATACTAGTCAATACCATATGGTACAGTCAATATCATATGGTATAGGCTGGTAATAACTAACAAATTTTTTTGTGTCCAAAAAATATCAAAGTGGATATCATTTTGAAGAGCACAATTAATCTGATCTAACTGTGCAAAAAAAATTAAATTTCGACTTAAAACGAGTGAGAAATCGTCCGTTAAAGATTAAGGGAAGGAAAATTAAATGTTTTGCGAGGAGAGAGAAGGAGGCGCTGATATGCTCCAGTCAAAACTAAGCATCAGCAATAAATAAGAGTAAGTGCAATTTTACCGTACTGCCCTTTTCTCATTTAATTTAAATAAAAAAGTGACTGACACGTGGAGACCAGCAAAGGAGTTACTGATGGGTTACTGACCCATCAGTTACTGACCCGATCTGGACACCCGGCCACCGCTCCAAACCCTTGCTCCTCCCAACTAAATCTCCAGGTGCCTCCATCCCTGTTCCTTGCCTAATCGATTTCTCTCCTCAAAAATCCATTCTACCTTCCGCCGTAAAATCATCGCCTTTCTTTCCCATATTTTCAGATCGAAGAAACCCTAACTGTTCCCTCGTTTCGGCTCTAAGCAACGGCGAGCCATCGAGTTAGGCACCGACTGCGGGGCCGCCGGGATGGCGCTCCACCTCCACGGCCTCACCTACACCATCCTCACCGCCATCGATTCCTTCGGGATGAACGAAATGTCCACTTTCAATGACGGTTCCCAAAACTGATTCTGATTCCGATTCAGAGCTCTCCCTTTTTCTCGCCTCGCCATACCAATGCCACAAAACCCACAGGAATCCATCCCAAATTAATTTGATTCCGATATGAAAACCTAACCATTGCTCCCTTCTCCCTGTCGTCTTCTTCTTCCTCTCTCCACCTCCCACTACCCGCTCGCGATGGCGGCTGAAGATGAAGGAAATCCAGTCGGTAAACTCGGGTCGTTCTCCCCCATGGCGTCGGGATTTGGGGGGTGATGTCGACATACTGCGGGATGGCCACTTGATGATGGGACACATGGAGGAGGTGGAGGAGGAGGAGAACAGTGGTATGAAAAGTGATGGTTGGGTCGTGGATGGTGGGGGTTCGGGAGGATTCAGTGGGCAAAACCAGGGGAGAGGAAGAATCAATGTTGGTGGGACTTGGGATAGGTAAGTAGAAGCTCCATTTTGGGGTTTACTTGTTGAATCGATTAATGGCGGAGGGAAGGAAAGCGGTTGGTGGTATAGAGAAGTGAGAGGAGGAGAAGGAAGGGAGAGATGGAGATGGAGACGAGTTGGAGCAGAGAGTAGAGAGCAGACGACTCTTCATTTCTTTCTTCTGGTTTTTTGTTTTTTATGTAATTAATATAAGGGAAGATTTTTTTTATAGGAAAGAAGGGAAGATTTCACGTGGCATTGATTTTGATAGAAATTGCCTAAGTCGTAAATAAATGTTAGTGCAGTCAACGTGTATCTAAATGTTGTTAAAGTTTTGGACAAAATGGTTATTTTTGTGTATTTTTCAAAATCTGGCTATTATTGTCACAAAGTGTATAATTATGACTATGCATATGTATTTTGCCTTTATAATATTACAAACTCTAAATAATCACGGTGTTCAGCATCACAATATTGACAAACCAATCCTCCTTCCTACGAAACAATTACTGAGAATTCAGCAGGAAAGCAAAAACAAAATTACGTGCAGTAGAAATCATCCATTTCAAATCCAAAACTAGAGTTTCAATCTGCGGAGAAAAGCTTCTTCTGAAGAGCATATCGAAGCTGCTCTTTGGCCTTGTCAACCAGCAGCAACCCTTCCTGCAACCTTATCACCCCTTGCCGGCTCTTGTCGCTCATCTCTCCGATCTCCTTCAACACCGACTCCGAGACGTACAGCGTCTTCAAGAAATCAATCGTGTCCGCGATCTCCACCCCTACCGCGCTCTTGCCCTCCATCTCCGACAGCTCCCTCAGCCGGTTCAGTAAAATCGGCACCCACCTTGCCTTGAATTCCTTCTTCTCCTCCGTCGTACCACAGACACAGTGCTCGTGCTCCCTACGCGCCGCCGCAACAAGGTCCAAGTGGCAGCTTAATTCTTCCCCCAAACAATTTCAAAATGGAAAAAAAAAAAAAGAAATTACCTCTGGAACTGCTACTCTAACCCCCGATTGATTGAATTTTTGCGGGATCGAATTTCCAGAAAACTCACCGGGGAAGAAAGTTGAGAGAGATTGGGGAGAACCGATTGGGGAAAGACCCGTTGACGGCCCCCGGTTGTGCGGGATGAGGTTGTCGGGGATCCGGCTGATTGGGATGCTGACGGAAACGAAGGCGGAGGGAGAAGTTGGAGTTGGCTCGTCATCGATATCTAGTAAACCGTCGTCGGGATGGTGGTGGAGGTGGTGTTTGCTGGAGGAAGACAGCGGGTTGCCGGTCGATTTGGTGAGGGCGTACTCGAAGAACGAATTCCGCTTCTGAGCTGATTCCGTAAATGCTTTGGTGGTGCCCGATCTCTCCATGGCTTAGTTCTCCTCTGTGTCTGTAACTTGTTTTCTTTTTTGGGTGGACTTTGGACTTGGGAAACTATGGATCTCGGAGGAAATGAAGACGGCCATTTATTGGACGTTCCTTCAGGCTAACGCCTTGAGCGGAGGGAGGGATCGATCTGTAATTTTCCGCAAATTTAGAAAGAAAAAGAGAATATTATAGTATCTCCATCAATGCAATTGCAAAAGAAATTGTAATACATTTTTTTTTTACTTTTTTACTTTGTCAATTGCACATTCCGTTAGGGAAAAGTGCAACGGTCGCACGCCGTGTGTTGCGGTTCCTTCCGTTCACGGCGGCCCTCCTCACAGCGGCGGCCCTCCTCCGCCCCCGCCGGCCGCCGCCACCGGCTGCTCTAACCCTAACGTACTTACGCTTCGTCCTTACCTTGGAGACTAGCCTGGCCGCGGAGGATCCGGAGCCTGCGCCGGCGGCCGGCTTGGGAGCGATCGGGCGGAATCTGAGCATCATCCGGTTGATTATCGTCGGCTCCTCCTCTTGCACGCGCCCCGAAGCGAAGTTCGTCAGCCGATACCCATCACCTCCTCCGCCGTCCATCTAGGGTGTTTCCCTGCCTCCGCTTCACCGTCGGATCAGGGATTTTACAGTCTTCCGGTGCCGGAGGTGGAGATTTCGGTTGTTTTTTGGTGGTTTGTGGAATATTGTTCTGAGGGCTCAAACGGTTTGAACAGTTCAACCGTTCACTTCGCTCGTCGACGATACGATTCTGTTTTAGGGATTTTCATTGATCCTAATCGAATTGACGGGCGGAGGCGTCACCAAGCACCGGTGGACTGTGCGATACGAACCCCAATTTTGGGATTGCCCTCATTCTTGTCACCGTGTCCTTCAGCAGTTTGCTGCCCAACGCCTTCGTGCGTCACCGATTCTGGCTTTCCTTCACCCATCAATCCTTTTTCCGGAGGATTCTAACTTTTTTGCAGGGTGTCAAAGGAGTTGCGGCTGAGGTACCGGAAACGGCGAGTCTTTCCGATGGCCACTTTAGGGCGACCACAATATGAGCGACGGTTTCATTCTTGTGCAGTTACAAATCTCATTCACGGGCAGTTACGTTTTCCATTCTCCAAGCATTTTTTTCTATTTCTTTATTTTAATTTTAACCAACCCTATTCGGAAAATTTATAACTATTTTTTTCCTTTACTTTAATTGGTTTTGCATTCTTGATGTATTTATTTTGTTTTCACCCAAACTTTGCTTTCGCTTTGGTTTTTTCCCCTTCTTCACGTAACTTTGTGCAATTTAATTGTGTTTTGATGTTTATTAGTTCTTTATTAGTCTTCCTCATGATCATGCTTTTACTTCTTTCTATCTCTGCTTCCCATTCATCCAATTGCCCACTATTATTGCTTTCTTTGTGATGATTTGATTGGATCAGCTTGCCTTTCTAAGTCTAGCTCTGTGTGGTGAGAGATAAGTTCCACTTTTTTTGAGTTATTCTTTTTATTGTTTGATCTTATTTGTTATTGGTGCTTGAACTTTATTCGTAGATTTTCCGGCTATTTTTTTCTCTGATCTCTTTGCTCTTGGCAAAGATCACACTGTTTATTTGGCATGTACATAAGCTCTACTGGTGTGCTATTGGGACTCGGACTATTGGAGACGTGAACATTGGGTTCGTTGGCTTCTCCCCGGCAGGATCGATAACCTGTGCACACGGTAAGTACTACGTCGGTCTATTTGACCCATTTCTACTGGAACTGTTGGCATTAAGGGATGATATGGACTGGTGCTTAACCCGGGGTATCTTTTCTGTTTGTTTTTGTGGGGATTCGCAACTGGTGATTCGGCGAGCTTCGGAGGATGTACAGGATCACAATCGAGGCGGGGCAATACTTGAAGAAATCAAATTGATGAAAGCATCCTTCGCGTTCATTCGTTTTGTTTTTTCTCCCCGTAGAACTAACAGGGCTGCCCATTGCGTGGCGAAAACAGCTCTTGCATCGGCTAATCAGCATATGGCTGATTTCCGTTATCTTCTTTTTAATTCATTGTAATGCCCTATCTAATACATTCTACCTTAGCCAAAAAAAAAAAAATTGTATTTGTATTTTTTATTGTCAACTCAAATGTTTTGCAATCCACTTCACATTCATTTCATTAACTTACATCAATGCAATTAACTTGCAATTGCAAATTTAATTAAATTTTATGTTTAAATTATAGAAAATTAATGAAAAGAGAAAAGAAAATAATATAAAACAAAAAAATCCTCATTTTTGTAGGCTTTTCTGATTTGCATATGGAATTGCATTTGTTGCAAGCTTGCAAATATACAATTGGTTGCCACATCAATGCAATTGGTTTTGCAATTGCAAACACCTATGTCATCTCATTTTGCAATTGAAAATGCAATACCAATGTAGATGCTCTTATGATAAATTACCAAACGTACCTTTCTACTAATTTTTTGCACAAACATATTCTTCTAAAAGTAAAACATAATGAACTTATCTTTCCATCCAATTATCTGTTAAGTGAACGTTAAAGGGACTGTGAAATAGTTCAATTACCCTTCATTTACTCTTAAATACTCCTAATTTGTATTTTAATTATTTTATGTCCCAAATTAATTAATAAAAAAATCTAAACTAGTTCACCCACACGCCAGAAATCGTCCTGACGATTTATTTCTTGCCTGGTTGAAGCTCAAACTCTTCCCTAAAGTTGCTGCAGCCCCGGTCGTCTTCCTTCACATCTCTCCCCTCTTCCCATCACGTCACTCGGTTAACCCCAATTTATCAATATGGATATGGTGGTTTCAATTAATTGTTTCTTGCCAGCGAATAATCGATATATGTTGGTATGACTTGAATCGGACTATCAGCCGCTACGACTGGTAATCGGGGGTCTCGCTGACATACTTCGATCAGAGTGCTACTAGTAATAGTGGCACATTATGACTTGGAGCTCGAGCAGCTAGACGTGAAGACAGCTTTCCTACATGGAGAGTTGGAGGAAGAAATTTACATGACTCAGCCAGAAGGATTCGAGGTTTCGGGAAAAGAAGACTATGTTTGTAAGCTGAAGAAGTCCTTGTATGGACTTAAGCAATCTCCGAGGCAGTGGTACAAGAGATTTGACAGTTACATGCTTGAGTTGGGCTACAGCAGAAGTCCATATGATTATTGTGTATATCACAGCAAGGCAGAGGATGGTTCGATGATATATCTAGTTCTGTATGTGATGATATGCTCAAAGCTGCGAGGTCAAAGTCTGATATCCAGAAGCTAAAGGGGCTTCTCAGTGCTGAGTTTGAGATGAAGGATTTGGGAGCTGCTCATAAGATTTTGAGTATGGAGATTTACAGGGACAGGTCGAAGAAGAAGCTTTTCTTGTCACAGAAGAGCTACATCCAGAAGATACTGTCGAGGTTTGGCATGTCTTCAGCAAAGCCCTTAAATACTCCTAGTGCTTCAAATGTTCATCTATCCTCAGCTTATGCACCACAGTCAGAGGCTGAGAAGGAGTACATGTCGAGAGTCCCATATGCTAGTGCAGTAGGTAGCTTGATGTACGCTATGGTATGCACTAGACCTGATCTTGCACATGCTGTTAGTGTTGTCAGCAGGTTTATGATACAACCTGGGAAGGAGCATTGGCAGGCTGTGAAGAAGATCTTCCGGTATCTTAAGGGTACACCTGATGTGGGGATTAGCTTCGGAAGTGATACAGAGTGCTTGGTGTCTGGGTATTCTGACTCGGACTATGCTGGAGATGTTGACACGAGGAGATCGATGACCGGTTATGTATTCACTCTTCGGAGTTCTGTAGTGAGCTGGAAGGCAACTCTGCAGTCGGCGGTGACATTGTCTACTACTGAGGCAGAGTATATGGTTGAAGGGACTGGTTGGTGATTTGGGTCTACATCTTGATCAGGCAGTGGTGTATTGCGACAGTTTGAGTGCAATATGCTTGGCCAAGGATCAAGTCCATTATGAGAGGACTAAGCACATCGATGTAAGGTATCATTTCTTGAAGGCGGGAGAGAGAGAGAAGGAGCAGAGTACATCAGAGATTTCAGAGGAAGAGGATTCAAGTCAAGGTGGAGATTTGTTGATATGACTTGAATCGGACTATTAGCCGCTACGACTGGTAATCAGGGGTCTCGCTGTTATTTGGGTTCGGGTTCTGGGCCTGGTCTGTAACCGTTTCCTTTGCCATTTTGGATTAGGTTTAGACCCACATGGAGAAGTACTATAAATACTTCTCATACTCCTCTGTAATCTATAATCTCCTTGATATAGTTAAACTGGGTCTCTCTCGCCCGTGGACGTAGCTAACACACATCGTGTTAGTGAACCACGTAAATCGTGTGTCTGTGTTTTTCGATTCTCGCTTTCGTATTCTTGCTTTGTCGATTCCGGCGATTTCCCGATCCGTAGCAGCGCGTTTATAACAATATAGGTTTCCCAATTTCTTGCCTTCTCGATCGTTCCACCGGCGGCGTGCATATGACCGACGCGCGTGACAAGGACGTGGTGTCGCTGGTCTGCCAGAGGTTGTACGAGCTGGACGCTCAGACCCGTAAACACGTCACGATTGACCTCTGCTACACGATGAGCCCAAATCGGCTCCGTTGGTGGGTCAAGCACCTCGAGTCCTTAGAAGCAAAAAGGGAAGCCTCGGGCGGCCATGTTCAATCTGATACCGAGAATTGCGCCTCATATGTTACCCCATGGGTGAAAGAAATGGCAGTCATTTACATGCTTGAAATCTGTTCACTTCAGGCAGATGATTTTTAAGGATTCGGATACTAGAGCTTCTCGCCAGGTCTAGTGGGAAGGCCTTTAAGCTCGACAAGTGCTGCGATTTCTCTACCGATGGGCTTCTTCAGGACTCGATTGTCCAGGTAAGCGGGATTTCCCCCGTTTTCTGTTGGGTGTTTGGTATGGACAACTTGTGTGAATTAGTTTAGGTTTTTTTATTTTTTAATTATTGATTTGGGGGATAAAATAGTTAAAACATAAATCAGGATTATTTAATAGTAAATGAGGGGTAATTGAGGCATTTTACAGCCCTTTTAATGTTACATAATAGATAATTGGATCAAAGATAAATTCGTTACGTTTTAATTTTTTGAAGTAACATCACGGTTTAAATTTAGAAGGATATGTTTGTGAAAAATTTAGTAGAGTGATACGTTTGTTAATTTATCATAATAGAGGAGTACAAAATGCTATTAACCCAAAGAAAAACAACTGGTGGGCATCGTTTCTGCATCCCCGTGGTTGTGCATTGCTGTCATCGCCCATCAGCTTTTGGTAGTGTTTGTTTTACGGGTTTGATTGTGGGATTAGGGTGATGAAATTGTCATTTAAGTACTATGGGTTTGAATAATTTTATTTATTTTTTATTTGGATAAAATTTTGGAATACAAATTAATAAGGTTATTTTGGATTTTTAGATATAAAAATTCATGGATTCTATGGAATTGCAAATTCAATATTTTATTTGAGATTTTTTATTAAGATAAACAAACATTTTATTTGAGATTTGGTTGAGGTAATAAAATTTTATGTGAACCATCATGCAAAAAGCTATATGTTTATGATAATAATCAATTCAATAAATAATGAAAATTTTAATAAAAAAGCGCTTGAGTCGAGAGTGAGAGAAAGTAGTGAGAGAGTGATCCTGGTGCTCGAGGTTTCCGATCAGAATTGCTCGTGGCCAGCTCCGGCATCTGCGCCGGAGCAGCTCCCTTTCCCCTCTTGTTCTTTTCTCATGAGTGTAGAGAGTATAGCGGTGTCTTCTCAAGCTTCGGAGGTGCCGAAGGGCGATGCTAAGGGGATTCCTACGAAACCCTGGGCCTCGTTGTTCGGTATCTCAGAAGCAAACCGTCTTACATATATTCCCCTAGAGGTCATCAATGGTGGTCTGCGAATGCCTAAAGCGATTCGGGAAGTAGGAGCGGCATGATGGAAAAATAGTCTTGTAGGGCAATTTCTACAAGATCCGCCTCCTCTATACG